ACTGAAGGATGGGTATCATACATCAGCTTTCGCTGAGTTGCCTGTGATCGCTCTAACAAAGTTAAAACGTTCAAACGTCAAAGTCTCACTGAGGAGCAGAACTGCACAACAAATTAGCAGCATTATATAAAAAAGTTTCTTATGCACAAGCATTTTATGAAACAAATGAACAATATGCTCTTAATGTTTGCCTTTGCCATGCTGCAAGATAAGCTTGCAGAAATGAGACATGAAATGTCTTACAATATGTAATTAAAGTAGCAGTGTTAATAATTTATATTCTTATATTTATATAATGGATAAAGACGTATTAAATTTTCTCTGTGGTCTAGCAAGAAATACTTTCTCTTGTAGAAAGTAGTGTCTAGTAAGAACCTGAGAAGTGTTTTGTTTTTTTTTGTTTTCTTTTCCAGTCTGTTTGTCCATTATTGAATTACCCCTACTTTCTGTCAGAAAGTTTCTACAGTCTTTCACTGGTCATCTGTGCTTTGTGGAGTCTGCAGCTGGCACTGCTGTATAATTCACCAGGTCTGCACTGCTGACCCATACTTTAACAAAATGTTAGGGGATCATTCATTACTGGACTTGGCTCCCATTAGAAGACATATAACAATGATGGTTACTAAACCTCTTATTACCCTTTTACAGTTTAGGGGGCTAGTTATGACATCATCCAGTTTAGGTTATTAGGATATGTCTTTCTAAATTGCTTTTTATACCATATTGCATCTTTCTCAGCTTTCTACTCTGATGTGAGAAGCACCACTGATAGGTACTAACTGAGAGCAGCCAGAACTTATCTCAAACCATTTTAAAGGACTCAGATGAAAGGAGTGATGATTGGAAGTGCTAGTGCCGTCATATTAAATATGACTGATCCTACCCTTTGATAGGGCACAGTTTATGTGATATTTTGATGACTTTTTTCAGTTTTGCTTTTCTGTGATTCTTCATGCAAAAAACATTCAAGTGTTGATTTGAAGATTAGAGTCATGATGTAGAAGAATGTATTCACTACACCACTGCTCACTGCAAAACCTAACTTTTAGTTTTTCAGCCATCCTCTGGACAGGGGAGGGGATTGAACCACTGAGGTTTTATCACCACTTCATCCAGCTCTCTTATTTAAGGATAGGAAGTACTGATGCCTTTTACTTTTTATCTCAATTAATTGCCTGTCTTTATTAAAGGATAACTGGATGGTAATGCTGGGGAGGTAACAGTGGGGACCTTCATGAGGCTCAGTCAAAGCTACTTGGCACAGAGGTCAACAGAAATAGTTTTCTCAGTGTGAGAAGTTAGAAAACATTTGTTATGTGATTCAAATGCAGAGAAGGCCATGATCTTCACTTTTGGTGATCCATGGGTTATCTCTTAAAACAGTCTGAGAGGATCAAGCAGAAGAGATATTTCGTAAATAGTCCAAGATCACCGATCCAAAGCTATGTTGTGGAGGACAAATGTATTTTTATCAAGTAAATCAATAAAAATAGCTACAGAAGGACACTGGAATTAAATTGCTTCAATGTATTAACACTAGACAAGTTGGGTAGATTTGTATTACTGTCAGTAAAACTCTTCTCTGAACCTGTTAAGATTAATACAGTTTACCGCCAGAAGGTATCCGAGCGTAATAAGTTCTTACAGAAACTTCTTTGGGGGCATGTTGCACCATTGGCCTCATTTATGCATTCATTGATAAAATCAGTATCTTGCTGTCAAGAAGGCAGCATGCAATTTCCAGCTGGTTTTAACATGATGTAATTTGGCTTATGGGTCAGGGTAGTTGCGGCCTCTTCTGTTCCAGCGGATGTGCTGGACAAAGGGAAGATTTCGTGTGATCACTGGTGTTGCTGGTGGCAGGCAGGGTCTGGGTTTTTGTGAGGGATGCTGTCACAGCTCCCACTCCGGTCACTGATGAAGCCTGAGAGGCAGATTTATGGCTGGAGTGGTTTTCTGCCCTCTCCCACTGCTTCACAATGGAAAGAAATGGCATGGGACAAAACCAGGCCCTGATGTCTCTTTCTCTGCTAGAATCATATTTTACTTCTTTCTTATGTTCACTGATGTCTTTCTGGGGCACTTTAAATCTTTTTGTCCTGGAGTCCAAACCAAACCTTTGGTAAGTTCAGTGGCATAGGGACTTTAAGCAGTTAGCATTTTCCTTACACCAGATAAGATGATACATGAAGTACAGAACAAAACATCTTTTCCTAAAGGTATGTTTTAGAATCTGTTTGGGGATGACCATGGACCTCAGGAGCACTCCCAAGAACTCCAGATCCAGGATCCTCAGTGTATGGCCCCCCGCTCCAATCTATTTTCCTCTTTCCATCAGTGGAAAGAAAATGGTAGTTTGAGAAGAGACAGGGGCTTCGGTGTGTTCCTCAGGGTACCCACTCTGTGCACTGAAGAGGTCAGGTCCTGTGCTGTGTCAGTACAGCCCAATGGCTCAATATCAACACAGGCTTTGCAATGCATGAAGTACTGTTTGCACACTCTGGAAGACCAGATATGATCTTTGTGGCCCTGGAAAACACTGAGTGCCAGGCAAACACCAAGATCACGAATATCTGAAAAACAGACCTGTTCAATCAGGAGTCCTCTGGCTGGAAGGTGAAGCCACTCTTAGATTCTTCCCAAGAGAACTCAAAGATCTGCTCCCGTACCCCTTTACTTAAGATCCTTATAACTCATCGGCATGCCTCAACCCACTGCTAACTGGGTGTCCCTTCAGTTACTTGCTTGTCAAACTATAATGCTTATAGCTGCTTGCTGCAACAACATAAAAATAAAACTCTCTTTTTTTTTTATGAGAAAAAAATAAAGTTTTTTCTTTCATTTTGTCCCCTAACATAAACAAGCTACATCTATATCACTACCCCAGTTTTCAGGCAGATAATTTTTCTGCAAACTTTGTAAATAACAAAGTTCAAAGTTTCTTTGTCTAGCACAGACACTTCTACCAGGGTTTATGCCTGCAATGTCTGGCTTGTAGAAGAATAATCCAAAGGCTGATTCATAATTTATATGCAAGAGAGCTGGTAATGCTCTAAGGGATAACAGCCAAACCATCCAGTCTGATGTGTGATTTATTTCTTGTAGTCAGCTGGTCTACTGAGTCCTACCAGGTACAGTGAGAACTTTTGTAAAGGCAGCTAAGCTGGGCTGCAAAGAACTTTATTGAACTGAACATACAGAGGAATTTGTAAATGAGATGATGAACAGAATTTAAAAAGAGTGTATAATAAACAAAAAAGATAGGATACTGAAAGAGAAATAATTGGAAGTGGAAAGAGCACAAGGTCTGCACAGTTCTTGATAGATATCAGAACACTGAAAGAAGTAAAATTTTACTTTTAGGTATATGATTTCCAGGGTCTGCAATGGGAAAATCAAAAACTATGCAAAAAATAACCAAAGATAACTAAAGTAAGATAACTAAAGATAACCTAGGAGAACTAAAACATACTTTACATTAAAGAACAGAAAGGGAACTGCAAATGGGCATCCTCTATTATTTTCTTTTGGGCATAGCAAAGAACCTTGAGCTCAGATTTGTCACACAAACGGATGAGATACAGTGTGGGGTGTTACTCTTCACTAGATGGCAATGTCTGCTCAGACCTAACACCTGCACTTGAGCATAGTTTTCTACCCCTAGTTTGTGATAATATAAATTCTCTTTCCAGTAGTGGGGAGAAGGGACATGCAGAGTTCATCTCCGGACTACAGTTGCATAGTGCTAGAGGAGCCATTTTACTCAGATGAATAAAGAATGCTTTTCAGTGTCTCCTTTGGTGCAGGGACTGTACATAAGAACATGGCCCAGGTCTTTCAGCATCCCTTGAGTGAAGCTAGTAGTAACAATAGAGGAAGCTTCTGTGGAGTATAATAGTTAGAAATACAGATTTTGCTGCATTATAACGATAAACTCTATCTGAACACTGAGAACACAAAAATAGCACAGGATACAGCAATAGTTTGTGTTTGTTTGTGGCAATTCTTTAAGAAAAATGCATAAGTATTTGAAGCTGTTACATACCATGAAAAAACCCCAATCGCTTAATTGGGGGGAAAGGTGGTGATTTGGAGCAGCAGAGATGTTTTATCTCAAGTTAACTTCAAATCCTGCATGATATTTGACAGGCTGGTTAGTGGATAACATAAAGGGCTTTTGCCAGTCAGGAAGGTGTGTGCTTTGCATTCCTCTGTGCACAGGAGTAGAGACCATTTGCTAAAGAAATGACTTGTACTGATTTTGCCACCTTTTGGGTAAGGCCCAGAATGGGCATCAGCTGTCTGACTGCTGGACCCACAGAAGGACTTCAGCCATTGTAATACTGAGTGCTGAGTTTACCTGCTCTTAGACCACGTAAAACCTGGAGGAATTCACATCCATCTCGGGAAGCCCTGGCTCCTGACATAATGCACTGTGATACTCCTTCCACGTCTGCATTGAAATCTCTATTCTATCAAGGGGACTAGAACACAACTATTTATTTTTTTCTACTTTTTTTTTTCACAAAAATTACTTGAGTTGTATCTCCTATTGGTGATGTGTTGAGCTTGGCTGTATGTTCTCTGAGATTTTTAATGATGTGGTTCTTATTCTTGCAAAATTATAACTGTGAGTACGAGACAAATATTTATAACAGTAATAAGCCTCCCACTTCAATACCAATCTTCTGCTCTCAACTCTTTTGGAGTACTATTGCAATATGAACTTATTGTCAGTGAGTACTAACAACAGAAGAGAAAACAAAACGGGAACGTTTTTGGAAAGGAGCATGCCTAATGCATTTTCCCCTTTAATATTATGAAAAGCTTGTAATGAATTTTAGATCAGAATCACTGTTCAGTTAGAAAGACAGGAGAAGACCACTAGATGGTGGTAAAAACCCAAGCGTTTGCTAACAAAATCTGCGAAAAGAGAAGTTCAGATGGGAAAGAAGGGGAGGAGGAGCCACAGTTTGAGTACTGAAGTCAGTATTGCTTGGAGTCTATAAAAAGGCAGTTGCACAGTAAGTAATTTATACGTGGTTAGTCTTGACTGTATGGATTTACTAATTCCTTTTCCTCTACTTTTGTCATCTATTCCCTCCAAGGACTCCCTAGCCCCAGATGTCGGGAGAGGAGGGGGGCTGAAACTTCTGCTCTCTGGAGGAAAGGTTGTAGGCGATGAAGAGGAAGAGCAGCTGAAGGAGCAGCTCTGGTAAATAGGTACAGTTAATTCTTGATTGCAAATAAAAGGTTATTTTTAAAAACTGAAAATTATTTATCTTGTTATGATTTGAATTTTATTTGCAACAAGTCACTGACAATCAGTTTTAAATGTTCCCCTTATTAAGAATCCGATGGCTTAAAACTTGTCCTGAATACTGTCATTAACAAAAGAACACTGAATAAAATACTCACAATCTGGAATATACAAATTATTTTTATGACAGAATTCCACCCATAATGTTTCTGCATCCTTAGTGTATCCTGAAAGGTATGGATTTGCCTTGGTTAGATGTTTGTTACTATGCTCTTAAGTGAGCATGTTAGTATTTCACAGATAAGCTGCTTATGACACAGTTCGTATGAACTTAGGAAGTACAAAGGTCAGGAAAGCATTTAAATATTTTACTGAAAATGTTCAATTCTTAGTTGTGGCAATAATTCAAACTTCTATATATTGTATTCAAGTGACCAGGTTCTGCCAAACCCAATGTTATATTCTGCATTTCTGGGATCTGAGAATTGAGACTTTGAGAATTGTTGGTTGGTGTTCAGCAGAATTTCCAGGACATTGTTCTCACTTCTGGGGGACTGAATACAATAAACAAAACTCTGAAGGAAGTGTGCATTAATCTCTTTGTTAATTTGTGATTTTAATTTCCCAGTAAGGATGGGTAGAAAAACTCTGAGCCAATTGGAGGTTAATTTAGAATCAGTAGAAGAATATGGTGTAGAAAAGGCAGGATGTGTACAAGCCAGATTAAATGGAAATGGGTGATATTTGTTTTGTCAACTTCTGCCTGTTCTCATCATGCTTTATTTTTTTTTTTTTGGCAGGGTCTTCTGCCTTTTGGAAAATGCATTTAGCCTGCTCCTTGGCAAGTCCCTCAGAAAGAACAGAACGTGTTTGGTCGCAGAAATGAACATGTCCTCTCAACTGTATGTTTCTGAACTAAACCTGAGTGCCTTTGTTAGCAACTTTACTGTGCCTACTGTCAAGAGCAAGTCATCGCCATGTGAGCAAGTAGTTATTGCAGCTGAGGTGTTCCTAACTCTGGGCATTGTAAGCCTCCTTGAAAATATCTTAGTTATATGTGCAATAGTTAAGAACAAGAACTTGCACTCACCCATGTATTTTTTTGTTTGCAGTTTAGCAGTGGCTGACATGCTGGTTAGTGTGTCTAATGCTTGGGAAACCATAACAATATACTTAATAAACAATAGACACATAATTATGGAAGATGCCTTTGTCCGTCATATAGACAATGTCTTTGATTCAATGATCTGCATATCTGTGGTGGCTTCCATGTGCAGTTTGCTGGCTATAGCAGTAGACAGATATGTCACTATCTTCTATGCCCTGCGTTATCACAACATCATGACAGTGAAAAGATCAGGTCTTATTATTGCATGCATCTGGACCTTTTGTACAGGCTGTGGGATTATCTTCATTCTTTATTATGAATCAACTTATGTGATCATTTGTCTCATCACTATGTTTTTTACCATGTTGTTCCTCATGGTCTCACTGTACATCCATATGTTCCTTCTGGCTCGTACTCATGTGAAGAAAATAGCTGCTTTGCCTGGGTACAACTCTGTCCATCAAAGAACCAGCATGAAAGGAGCTATCACTCTGACTATGCTTCTTGGCATCTTCATTGTTTGCTGGGCTCCATTCTTCCTTCATCTCATACTGATGATATCCTGCCCTCAAAACCTCTACTGTGTTTGCTTCATGTCTCACTTCAACATGTACCTCATTCTCATTATGTGCAACTCAGTGATTGATCCCTTGATCTATGCCTTTCGTAGCCAGGAAATGAGGAAGACCTTCAAAGAGATAATTTGTTGCTATAGCCTGAGAATGGTCTGTGGATTATCAAACAAGTATTAAGAAAATAAAACCATACCAGGGAAGAGAATGTAAATGCAACATCTCGCTGCATCTTGTAATTCTGCTGAAGTGTTTATGGAATATCTTTCTCCAATCAGCTATCATGATTTCTACGGCAATCAGAAAGCATTTTTTAATACGTGATTTTACCTTTCGTTCCCTCCACACACCTCTCACATGGGTGGTAGGAGCTACTCAATGCATCTGTATTATGGGGAGAAAGAATATTTTGAATATCATTTACCCTGTTGAAGACTGGATCTTATAAGAGGATTGCAACAAGTGTGACCTGCCATGCTAATGAGCCCATCAGTGTCTCAGTGTTTCTCATTGTATTCTTTGTCTCTCTAGATATAGCATGGTTTATTTTGATGCTCAGAATTAACAGTTTTTTTACTATTTCCTTCTGAAGACAATAAACCAGAGAAGTAGCTCAAATTATCAGGGTTCACACACCTTGCTCAACAGTTAGGACTAATATATATGCACATATCAGCAGTCTTGTATTCCAGTCATGACTGCTACTGTCTTAAAATATGTATTATGTAAGAGGACAGTGTTACCATGAGATTTGCCAGGTTGAATACAGTATTTTTTTATATCTGACTATATGTCCTCTTGTCACTGTGGGGTAAGATATACCATAGGTGAATTTTAAGGCTGAATATGAAGACTGATCTGATTCTGTTTGTCTGTTTTCTTTATTCACCAGGGCTAGGGAAATAAAGGGTACATTTAAGGTCATGTAATGCCTGAAAAGTGGAAAGAATATCCCTTGTGTTGTGGTTTAGGGATGCTCTAAGACTGTCATGGTCAGTGGAAGAACTATGATTGATTCAGTGGGCTTTAGGTTATACCTCCAATGTGGAAATTCTTATCAGGTGTTAGGAAAATTTTTTTACCACAGGGGTGGTCAAACATAGGAACAGGTGCCCAGTGGTTATACAATCACTATCCTTGGAGATATTCAGAACTTGACTGACACAGCCCTGAACAATCTTCTCTGAGTTGAAATCTGACTCTAGCTTAGAAGTTGGCCTTGTTTTGAATGATTATGGATAGATGATATCCACAGGTCCCTTCCAGCTCAAATTATTCTGTCATTCTATGAAACAGATTGCGTATTATGATAAAATTATATTTTTTTTTCCCCTCCCAATTGAATCTCTTGTGTAAGAAGAATTGTAAAAGATTCTTGTCCACACATTTAGAAATATAGCATACTTTGTGTCTTCATTTCCTTTGGAGGTCTCTGGCAGGATAAGTAGGGTACATCTTTAGCATCAGAGTTATATATTTTGTCTGCTGCACCTTAAAATATATACTGCCTCCAGCTCACACATATCTCTCTCTGACATGAGTGGGGATGTTATTTTGAGTGGAGACACCTTATTATGTGGACTGTAAATATAATGGTTATATCAGTGCACTGGGCGCTGGAATTTTCTTTCAGCTATATCTGAAAACAGGATTTCAAAGGTATGTTTGTGGTTGGTACTGAGAATCTTGGCTTGTTTAAGTCCACCTCTTAACCCTATCCATAAATGGCACCTAAGAGTGGGCTCTTGCTGCTATGAATGTAAATAACAAAAGGAGACACTTCAATTGCATAGTGAAAGGCACCAGCTGATGTAAATAAATCATTAAATCTTCACTAGGTATTGCAAATAAGACAGTCTTGTACATAATTGCAAATTGATAAAGAGGAAGCCAAAACTGTAATAGCTTTGGGTATTTTCTTGAATTGTACATTACCTTTTTTGTTGGAAGTTTATTTGATGTTTAAGCAGATATATGAAGAAACTATTAAACTGGATTGCTGGAAACCCCACTATTATCTGTTATGTAACGTGTCCGCTAAACCTTATAGATTATTCACAGAGGGAATATTGCATTACAGGCTTTCATGTCTCAATTTAAACAGATGCTCTATTAAGGAACATATTCTGAAAGAGAGCTACAGACTAATAAAATGTATTTGTATTCATACCTATGTTCCTCTAGGTGACAGCATCACAACCTCATTATAAGCCTTACAGGTGGGGAGCTAAACCAGCTTAAGGGGGAAATGAAAGTATTTTCAAGAACTCACTAGATAGAACAGTTACTGCAAAAAAGGCTGTTTGCACTATAAGAATGAAGATAAAATACATGTCTCTGTGAGTCTGTGAGGTGTTTTAACCTGTTTTTTTCTCCTGTTTAGCTGCAGAATAAAACCAACGTTTAACATGCTTTCATTTCTACCAGAGCTTGGAAAACACTAAGTATTCTGATAGGTTTGTACAAGCAAACATTGTGTAAGTATGAAATCAGTTGTCAAAGGACAGTCACAAAAAAAATTAGCTGCTTGGCTGACATTGCACCATGTCCCCCACAGATAATGATACTACTCTTGCTTACACTGCCAGTCATTTATGGTTTGGTATCAGTCATTGGAAAGAAGCTCAAATCACACTATTTCTGTCCCAAAACCAACTTCTATTGCCCATTGTTGCTTTGATGACTGAACACTTCACTGCTTCTAACTTGTGTGTCGCTATTTTAGTCTTTAATAAGAAATTATTCTGAACTCTCTCCTGTTGCAGGTGACATCAACTTTTATAAGCTCATCTGCATTTTAAGTAGATGAGTAGGAGCAGGGAGAATATCAAAAAAACCCAAGCTAAACCAAACCAAAAAAGCACAAAAATTTCTAGCTGCACCAGAACTTCATCTAGTTAGAAGGGTGAATTCTTTAGTCTATAATAATGCAAAGGGTGGTTGATAATATGTAAATTGCTCTTGCAATCTTGTCTCCAGATTACACTGAAGTACTTCATACATTGCTCTAAGTTTTCCTTGCTTTAGTAGACTGAAGCGGAAGGTTGGCTTTTGCAAATGATGGCATTGCCTAGTTAACCCCATACCCAGCGTGCTCCTATACTATCATTAAGAAAATCTGAATCTTTTCTCCAGGCCAAGGCTGCAATAAGGTACCTGGAAATACTAATTTTCCAAGAGCCTTAGCATCACCTGTAACACAAAACAGCCATAACTGAATAGAGCAAAGAGGTTGTTTATGATCCTGGGCTTTATGATCCTGCTTCCCAAATGGGCACAAGTCTGCCACAAAGGGCTCTAACTACTGAGTACTACCACTTCTGGGGCTGGGCTGGGAGGGTTGGTTGCTTTCAGCTCTACAATCTACAGGCCTTCAACTTCCATGCAACCAGTGTCCAACTTCCTTTTGAGAATGGGTTGCACATTCCCACTCCTTGGGTTTCTCCTTTTAGAAAACCTTATCTGAGAGGTTCTCTGAAGACTTTAGAGGTGTTTTCCAGAAATCCTGTGGAAAATAATTTCAGAAACCACAGGAATTTTCTGCATTTCCTTTAAGAAAGCAGAAAAGATTTATACATCTGTGGAAAAGCATGCAACTCCCTCACACAGTCAGCTTCTAAAATCTCAAAGGACTCTGTTTTGTCTCCAAAGACTTACTGGGGATTCTCCTGCCTCTTTTGCACTAAATGCTGCTTCTGTTGCTGATTAGCTTCCTGTACAAAGGACCAGCTTGTGGTAACCACTGCTGCGTTCGGGAATTGCAGTGAATGGTTCCAGTCTTTAGCTGTGTTGGTTTGCATGCACAGTGCCATTTCTGTTAGGTAGAGTCAGTGAATAAGATATGGGAACACAGATGTGGAAATGGGGATCCCCATGTCAGGGATGGAGAGTCATGCAGGCTGCAGAGGAGCTGCCTGCATAAACCTCTGTGCTAGGTTATCTCCATGTGAGATGCTCTCCATCCATTTCTAATCTTATAATGTATTACAACTTGAGCTGTGTGCATCTTGGATCCAGCTTGTTCTTCATACAGGACAGAAAAGGAGAATCTGAGGTATGTATGTGTCTGTCTATTCTTACATAATGCTTATGTGTGTATAAGTTTACTTCCAAATATAGAGTATAATCACAAATGACATCAACAAACAAAACGTATGTGAGGATGTATAGTTTCTTTTCCCTTAACCTATCTGCTCTTTGCCATCCAGATATTTGTTACACTACTGTTGAGGTTTAAGCCCAGAGAGCAATTGAGCACCACACAGCCTCTCACTCACTCCTTCCCCCTCAAGGATAGGGAGAAGAAAATAAAACTAAAGGCTTGGGGATTGAGACAAGGACAAGGAAGGATGACTCACCCATTGTGGTCATGGGCAAAATACAGACTTCTTAGGGGAAGAAAAATAACATTAATTTAATTTGGACACCACCACCACCATCATTTACTTTACCAATCAAATAGAGTAGGATAGTGAGAAATAAACCCAAATCTTAAAAACACCTTCCCCCTACCCCTCTCTTCTTCCCAGGTTCAGCTTTGATCCCAAATTCTTTACTTCCTTCCCCTTGAGTGGCACAGGGGGGCAGGGGATGAGTGTTGCGGTCGGTTTGTCACCAGTTGTTTCTGCTGCTCCTTCCTCCTCAGGAGGAGGACTTCTCACACTCTTCCCCTGCCTCAGTGTGAGTTCACTTTCATGGGATACAGTCCTCCATGAACCTTCTCCAACATGAGTCCTTCCCATGGGCTGCAGCTCTTCATGAACTGCTCTCGTGTGGGTCCCTGCCACAGGCTACAGTCCTCCCAGCAACAGACTGCTCCAGTGCAGGCTTCCCTCAGAGTCCCGGCCTTCTTTGGGCACAGCTCCCTGCTCTGCATGGGGCCCTCCACAGGCTGCAGATGGGCATCTGCTCCAACAGTGACCTCCATGGGCTGCAGGAGAGTCTCTGCTCTGGCACACCTTCCCCCTCCTCCTCCTATGTTCCACTGACCTCGGTGTTTGCGTGTCCTCCTCACAACTCCTCCTTACAAGGCCCGTTCTTCCTCCCAGGTTCCCCTTCTTAAATATGTTCTCACAGAGGTGCAGCCACTGTTGATAATTGGCTTGGCCCTGGAGAGAGGTAGGTCTGACTTGGAGCCAGGGGAGATTTGAGAACCTTCTCACAGGAGCCACCTCTGTAGCCCCCTCCCCCACTACTAAAAACCTGCCACACACAAACCCAGTGCAACTACTTTCCAATTTGCATCTTGTTTTTCACATATTTCCTCCACCTGTGAACAAACTAACAACAGTATAAATCTGAAGTTGAAGAAAAAACCTCATGAGCTTTTTTGCATCCTGAGCTTTTGAAAATGATGGTAAATCAGTGTGACAGAACAAAGAGCTCCTCTGTAAACCATTACATTGTCTAGTAATATTTAAATTATTATGGTCCTTAAGTACTATCCCTAGAACAGTTTCTTCTTGAGCTGCTTTCCTAAAAAAACCCCTAAAAATGTGTGCTTGGCTGTACTGAGCACTGAGAGTAAAAGGTCTCCATCAAAATAAGGAGCAGCTGTTCAGGGGAATTACACAAAGTCTGGACATGTACATGGTAATCCTCTGGAATACCTTTACAGCTTCCAGCAAACTATAATTTAGGGACTTCTTGGGCAGGAGGTCATACTTACTGTTTTGTGACTGATAGCTCTCAATGAATGTTTCTTACAAGAATTTATCTAATCACTTTTTAATCCCTTTATACTCACCTGCAAAATCTTGTGACAGTAAGTTTCACAGTTTAGATATGCTGTGTGGAAAAGTGATTTTTTTTTCTTATAAAACATCTGCTTCGAAGTTTTCTTCAAAGCCCCTGAGTCCTTATGTTATAAAGAAGAGAAGTAACTGGTCCCCACTCACTTTCCCTGTGCCATTCGTTATCCTACTCCCTTATATTCCCCTATAAAGTTTCTCTTTTCCAGCCAAGGATTCTAGCCTATTTAATCTCTACTGGTACTTTCATACCTTGTCCTTATGTTGTTTTCTTAGATCTCCTATGTTCTTTCTGATTCAGGGGGGACCAGATGAGCATATAATAATCCAGATATAGGTGAAAACTAGATTTTCACAGTGTCAGATGATGCTTCATGTTTTGTTCTCTATTCTTTTCTTAGTAGTATGTAACAACATACTTTCATTCAGTACAGCATGGAAATATGATTTGGAAGATTTCAAGATCTCTAAAGGCATTTCTTCTCTGAAAATGGTCACAGGTACACATACTCTGTTATCTAAATAGGCTTACATTTTCAGTGGTGAGGACTTTGGTCATGTGTGCCAAAAATACAGTGCTTAGGAGTTCTGTGTTTCCATGTCCAAGTACATGTCTTGTCTGTGTCCCATCTGTGTAGCAGAACTCATCTGATGGACACAGCTTCCATCTCCCTGCCTGCGATGGCAAGGAAGCCTGGCCATAGAGGCTGGAAGGGCCTTGCATTGTGTCCCAGCCATGCCCTGCGCGGCTGAGGATCAGGGACCCTGAGTTCAGACACAAACTTATCCTGGAAGCCCATCATTTCTTTGAGAAGTGTGGTAAGAATGTCATTTGCACAGCTACATCCAGGTGGGGATTCATCACTCCTCTCCTTTCAATTAAGCTCGTTTTACACTTGATTAAAGTAAGGTGAGAATTGGAACTATGAGATTTGTATGTTGGCTCCAGATGATTTTCAAAGGCATCAAATGAACTTTTTTGATGTCTTGTTGAATAAATGCACTAATTAACAGAAACAAAACAAAACAAAAACCCACAAAGAAAATGGGATTAATTTTTCTCCCTAGTTTGCCAGTTTTTAACAGGATACTGTTACTTTTGGCAAGCAATAAGCAGTGTTGCCCATAAATTAACTTTCACATTGGCTTTTGTATTTTGCACAGAAACTTCATACCTACTTCACCTACCCTGAAGAAATGACCCCAGGAATACCTATCATCTTC